AAACAGCCAGCCGAGGGTTTAAAGACTTCTCCAGACACCAATGCACAGATAAGAAACTTGGCAGCAGCTCCGTAGCTGCCTGCCAAGACCTTTTTACTCCAAACACACAGAAACAAAAACAATACACACAGTTTTGAAACCACAGCACACTACTTTGCCAGAGATTCAGCTTTTGTCCGTCACAGAGGTCCAAATGGCCGCCGCCACCCTTTTATAGCCTGTGGGGTGTGGTCCAGTGACTCAGCTTAATCTCTGGTACGTCTCATTTTCTGCTGCGCATGCTTATCGCTCCTACGCTGGCGTGGATCCAGCCACAACTTTTCTTCCTCATTATCTGACACACCTGGCTCCTGGCCAATCTGAGAAACACCAGGCTCTAGGCCAATCTCTGAACCACCTGGCTCCTGGTCAATCTCTTCTCCGTCAGAAGACACCGGAGGCATTGCCAAAGAGGAGGGTCCTGGAGAGGGAGGCCTAGCCATCTCCTCTCCTTCATGTTCGGAGCCTTCTTCCTCCGATAAGAGGGGCTCACAAGACGGAGCCACAACACTCCCTCAGCGAAGAAATGGAGATCAGCATGGCCTCCTTAGAGTCGGACATGATTGGACGGGGTAAACCTTTACCTTTATATCAGGCACCACTTTGCCAGGATTAATTCTGCCCATCCAACATCGGAAGCCAGCTAAGGCATGAAGTACAGTGTGAATGGATAGGCAGCAGGCGTGTTTGGCAGCTTCTGCACTTGACATCCTTTGGCAGCTTCCTTGTCTGAATTTTGCAAGGCTATTACAGCTCTACTGCTCCACAGTGTGCATTACATTATGGGCACCTAAGGCCATCTATTTATTGTATTGTTGATTATTTTCTTTATTGTATTTTGTATATGGCTGGCATGACTACCTTCCCATGCTATTCACTATTCACATTTGCATGCTTTTGAACTGCTAGATTGGCTGGGGCAGGAACAGGAACTCACCCTGTTGTGCGGTACTTACGTCTTGAATTGCCAAACTTCCAGTTGACAGCCCGACATCTTAACTGCTAGGCCACCGTGCCCCTTATAATGGTATAAATAAACAAATTCCATCCACTTTTAATAAGTCCCTTCTCCCCTCATTTTTCCAACTTTAGCCAATTTAAAAACTAATAATTTGTTTTACTAAAAATTGTGGCAAAAGGGGAGTTGATAGGCATTAAAAGCCTTAATAAGTAGATTTTGCATACTACAGCATAACAAACTATTGAAACTCAAAACACAACGGCAATTTATCCCAAATTTAATAAACTTGATTATTGTTTTGTATTTCGTTGGTATTTAATTCTATTTTACTTTTTATTGGCATCTAATTCAAATGTATTATTTCATTTGTAGTTTTAATATTACAATGAAATCCAACTGTGGATGCAAAGAAACAGTAGCAATCATTGTTAATATAGCATCCTTTATTTACTTGAAGCTTTGCCAGCAAGTAATTTTGTTCTTGTTTAAAGAATGCTAGTGCACTTAAATTTAAGTTGAATTTATATTAAACTTGATATTAGATTATTGAGTTTAAGAAGTAGGGAATTTATTGAGTCCTGTGTAAATAAATAAATTCAAGGTGACATTAGAAAAGGAACCATAATACCGGTATTAAAATTAATAGAAATAAATGAAACACGAATGAAGGCAAATATATGTGTCCCGGTGACCGACCCAAATTTGATCTCGCATAAATGAAACAATTCATATGAAAATGTAGCAGTTTGTAAATGTTGGGAAAGTATGTAGTAGTTGGAATATTCATAGAACAGAAAAGCTGGTGTTTTGACTAGACTCAATAGCCTTTTTCTTTCCATTCAGAGCTCACCCCATCTCCAGCAGTGGCTTCCCAGCAGCCTGCTTGCAGAAATGACCTCCAGTCTCAACATTACTTTTCCAGCTTTGTTCCAGTCACTTTCCAGCCAGCATCTCCATCAGAGGGCACGACTTCTTCCTCTTCTTCCTCAGCCAGCCATTCACTTTACCATAGGATGGAAGGAACTCTGAATGCCCGAAGTCGAAGTAACAGCACAGAGCGGTTGTTTGACTCGGCTGCTGTTGGCACAGAAGATTACCATGAAAGTGAAGGTTCACGCAACAGAACCAGAGCAGTTGAAAACCAATACTCTTTCTACTGACTTTGCTGATGGAGTGGTTTTCAGTGCATCCCTCTCATTTGGATCAGTAATTTTGGAGAAAAGAATTGAGAAGCTTCTTGAGGTCTTCATCTCCTTGTTGACTACTTCTGTATTGCATTTATTATTGCTTTTCTCCAGGCCTGTGAATATGTATACAATACCTTCTTGCATTCTTTCATAATAGAAAGTAAAGATAGTCCTTCCTATTCCCAAGGAGATACAGTGGTGGTCGTCTTCACACAGCTACAAAACTTCAGAGTGAAACACAATCTTTCTCTTTTACTTAACTTTTTTGGGTCCAGGAGCACAATCTAGAATTATGGAGAAAAATTTACATCTGCATGAAGTCAAGTTATTTCACTTGTTTATTTCTATCTAGGCTGCCTGATTTGGATGAAATCAGAAAATTAGAATCATGAAATCGTGATTTAAAGTGAACTGAAGCTGGACACTTGTAGCTAATTGTTGCTAAGACTTCATTTTGCCCATAATCAGCAATGTCAAGGTGTGTACTTTGAGGCCAATGTTGGAATGACTAGCAAAAGTGATTTTCTTGTATACATCCTGTAAATTGTTTGCTTTGTTCATTTTCTTAACTGCACACTCACTCCATATTTTACATTTTTGCAAACAAAATGTTAAGTGTCTGGAGTGCAGTTATGTTGATTGCCTACATAGGAAGCTGCCTAACCTGCTGTAAGAACACAGGTCCATCTAGGTCAAGGGTATATGCAAAATAACACCTTTCCAAAAATTAGCACTACCTATTGCCTTCCAGTGTTGATGGACAACACTTATTTTGTATTACTGTGCTTCACAAGACATGTCACAATTCTTTTTCCACCAAACTAATTCCAATTAATATTGATTGGTAGAAAGAGGATCTGAAGTCTTCTATTTCTACAATTGGTGCAGATGTTATTTCTGGACAAATAACAGTCTATTAGAGGATCACACATCAAAGCCACATGTTGCTTACAGTTGTTTATAAGTTTCTGTTTGCTGATAACAATCTAGCATTTTCGTTAAATATGATTTACAAGAATGAATGTTCATTATAATCATACTGAAAATGGGCAGCTTCTCTTTTGTGGTATGTAACTTCCCTTTAGTAAATCCTCTCTGTAGCTTTATGAAAGCATTTAGTTCCATCTTAATTTGAATAACTTTCATTATTGTATTTTCCATGTGATTTGAAAAAAAATGCAATGTTAGTAAGTGCATAATACTGCCTTCTAATTTTAGTGTGGCACTATCACTCGTTCCTCAATGACATGGCAATTGTTTCAATTAAAGAAGAATCCCTAAATATCTTTTGAACTGAAAAAAAATCTGAGTTTACATGAAAAACTTTGAAATACACTCCTCAAAATAAATAATGGCATGGAGCTCTGAAATTCTATGAAGCCATAGGAAAAAATCAATTTGATATTTTAGGTACCTTGGAAACATCCAATGTATTCCATCACTTAATCTAACAAAATGAAATTTGCTTGTAACAAAGAGATGGAAAAATGTAGCTTTTTCCAATAAATCTGTAGTTGGCTATTTTACAGAATTTTCCTGATTGATTTACATGAAAATGATTACACAGTTCTGTATTAAGATAATATTTCCATGTCAAAGTCACTAAGGTACTAGAAGAGAAAGCTGAAAGGCAAAATCTAATATGAAATAGTAGTTATTTTATAAAATATATATAAACCAGAAAACTCTGCATCCACTTGAGTTGCAACATATAAATTGTGCAACCATTTGAATTGCAAAGGAATAGAAATTGGTGAAAGGGGATGAAATCATTGTGCTGCTCTAAGACTTGTGCTTAACACTGAAATTCTAATCAAATCACAGTACTCTAATCGATTCAGAACACAACTAGTGCAACCTTGTCTATTTTGACTAAGCACTATATTCAACATTTTTTGGGGACTGCAGACTAAGCCACTGTTAGTTCACAAATTAAGATTCAAGAGATACTGCCTAAGGCTGCCAGACCTAATTGCAAAACTAACTTTATGCCCTAAAAATGTGTTGTAGGTTTTTGAATATTGGTTTTATACTGTACACTCCCTGTGAGCTTCAGTTGTAAACAAGTTCCTGAGAATGGAATTAGCTATTTGGAGAACTGAGATTTATTGTTGGACCTGGCATGAAATCAGTGAGGGATGTTGGGAATATTAATTCAATAACATCTGGAAGGCTACAGGTTCTGCAACTTTGGCCTAAAATAAACCAAATTTATTTGATTTTTGACACTACTGTATTTCTTAGTCTTTGCCTTCATAGGAAAATTTGGAAAAATGATTTGCTAAGAGCAGTTAGAATGCTTAGATAGCTAAATGTATGTCTCTTTAAAAAAACTGATAAAGTTTCTTGAATATCACAATATTGAAAAATACTGTCATGATTTTTAGAGCAAAATCCATATTTTTCTCTCTATAAACGTATAAAATACTCATACATGGAATATGATATAACACAAGGGAAGTTTTTGAATGCAGACTTAATTTTCAGATTCTTTTTTAATTAAATAAATGTGTACTCAAAAGAATCAATGGTTACTTTCATAGTTACCATGACTTCATAATTCATGTCATTTGTGTAATTATCTCATGACAAATAATGTTATTGAGGCTTGTTATCAATCACCTCCATAAAGAAGAATCATTTGGTGGTACTAACCAGGTAACAAAAACGTTACGGATTTTAATTTTTTCTGTGCCAATTGAAACAATGGGGGGAAAGACCTCCAAAAGCTGCAAACTGAATGTTAATTTGTAAATACGATTTTTTTAAAAATGTGAAAAAGTTTTAATGTGCAGTAGAATAAATTTTATTTATAAACTTGTAAAGGATCTGGAAAAATAATGGTTCGGCTTTTTTCCTTTTGGATTGGGAGTTGGAAATAAAGGCTTTAAACACATGCTTTAAAGATACAGTTAAAAATGTACATTACAGGACACACAGTAATCTTGGGAATTAATCCAGTAGTAGTAGGTAGGAACAAGAGAGGCAATGGCAAGGATGCGTTCATTGAGTATTGAGATTTGAAGAATATGTTGAAAAATGGTTACTTGAAAAATAAAGTTTTACTATTTTGAAAAATTATTTGTAAAATTTAAATATTTTAAAAGTCTGATAAGAAAGTTTTATTACATTCTTTGGAATTGTGAAGTCAAGTTTAATAACACTCATTCTCACACAGCATGTTTAATGGCAATGATGAAAGTGTGGTCCATAGTTAAGCATAAATAGGTGAGTCAGATCCAAAGCCTTATGTAGCACTATGTCAAAATTATTTGCCACTTGAAACAGGCCAAGATAATATCTGTGACTCACTAAACCATAAGGCTAATCTAATACAGCACATATTGCCAATTAAACCTATATAACAGTAGGAAAGACTATTGCACATTGGGAATATTGAGTAAACCATTATTTAACTTTGGGTAGCAAATTTGTGGGAACAAAATCAGTATCTCAATCATTAGCATCTGATTCTTTAAACTGGATGCTGTCCTTCATTGTACTTGAGGACATCATGCTTGCTTGCAAATAATCAGGTCTGGTGATTGTTTCCTGCCCCATTGAAATGGATGCTGAAATAAAGCATTAGTGGCATCAATATGAATCAGAGTACAGCAGTGTAATAATTTATACAATGCTTTAAGAAGTATGTACTATGCTTGTTGCCTGTCTTCTTACACACTAGCAATTGTTCGATCTATGATAAACGGTACTTCCTAGCTCAAAAAGAGGATGTGGCTCTGGGCTTCAGCATCCATCACTCGAAGTAGCTGCCTAATGGCCAGGCAAGTCTCCAATAAATTGAAGAAAAATACATGAATTTTAAAAATAGACAGATAATATTACTGTGATGTTTGTGGGCAACCACCCCACCAAAGAGAAAAACTCTAGTTCCTTCAAAAAGATATAAGATAGTAGTATTGGGAAATTTCATCTCAAAATCTGTTAGATAGTAACTGCCAAGCATTTATTCCAGAATTTTTCTTGTGTTGCTTACCATTTTCTCCTTTAAAAGATGGAAGTATAAGAACATCAGCTATTCTTGACTTAACATTAACCAAAAGAGAAAAATTGATTAAAGGAATAGGAATGGAAATAATAGGAACACTGGGGAAAGATATCTAGTAGTGCTGGAATTCATGATTTTAAGAGAAACCAAAGCTGAGTGCAATTGAACATATATTCTGGACTTCAAGAAAGCAGATTTTCATAATAACTCATATTTCGGAGCATATGGTAAGAGAATCTAAAAGGAAAAAGAGCTCAGAATAAGGCTGGAATTTCTAAAAATAGGAAAAACCAATAGTATAATTGCAAACCAGTCCAATTAGAAGTGTTGGCATCTATTTTATCTCTGTCTTCTCTGAAAAGTGTTCCATGAGGTGATGAATAGCAAATGATTAGAGGAATGTAAGAATGGCCTATGTTGAACTACAGTCTATGCCAATATCTAGAGAAGTTCATAAATCAATTAGTTTGCAACCACTGAAACAAATGTGGTGCTAATTGGATTTAAAGATAAATTGTGAAAAGCAAGTCTTGGCAAACTAATTGATTAGGTAATTTTTGTAGTAGATTGTGGAAATACTCTTGACATATCTTTAATAAAACGTTTAACAAAATGCTGCATTATAATGCAATTAGTGATCTAGTAAATGAGTATATATTATATTTAAAGATCATACTCAGAATTTTCATGAATACTGTCTCATCAGACCATAATGTGATACCAGGTAGGGTCTGCCAGAGCTCACCCAGGGTTCTGTATTGTTCAGTATTGCCTATTAATGAATTATACTGTATATGCAGATGGAGTAAATGCTAATCAAATTTGTAGATGAGGAAAATAGGGGAAACCAGTATATGAAAGAGAACAGCAATAACAATTTTGAATATAATTGAATATATTTTCAATTAGGACTCAGAAATCAAATTTTGCTCAAGTATAAATTGGGAACATTGATGGAGCAACATTATTTGTGAAAGACAGCTGGAGTAATAGTTAATTGCAAATCAAATATGAATCAACATATTGATATGGCTACAGCAACAAAAGAAACTTCATTAGATAAAGCAGTTAGCAGGCAGAAAAATGGACAGAGAAGTGAAAAAAAAGAATGTCTTATTTTCTGGGGCTATTCTATACTATTCTAGCTAATAATATAAATTGGGAAAGTATATGCCTGGAGAGTTCTATTAACCATGAAATTGCACAGTGCTAAGAGCAAGGTTGGTGAAGTAGCCAGATATATTATAATCCGAGATTATTTCACTGCATAAAGTTTTGCTTTCAGAATTTTTGAAAGGCACTCATGTAAGCCTTTGATTATTTATTTATAGAAAAGCAGAAGTGTGCCTTTGAAATATAAACTCCGGTTCCTAGCAAAGTAGACTTTATATATATACGGTAGTAGTAAATTAAAACCCTAGTTTTATTTACTTGACTCTGACTGAAATACCATTAATGCAGAAAGAATTAAATTAAGAATTAAAAAGCAAACTTAGGTGAAAATATCTAAATTTATTCTGTATTAATTTATGTATTTAAATATTCTAAATATAGAATATTTAAAATTCACTATTCACAAAAACAAAAATATCTTCTTTGTCTTCTGAAAAAATTGATACATAGGCATAAAACCTACACAATTCCCTAAACTGTGAATATATTCTCTTACAAAAATGTAAATTTATAAAACTAAGCCAAAACAAAAACTTATAAAACTAAGCCAATCATTGCTTAATTCAGAATAATAGTAATTATAGTACTAGGAAGGTAAAAAACATTGTACAATTATCAGTGCACTATGAACACATTCACAAGAACCCTTATTAAACTTTGTAGATTTGTTACAGAATTTTGATCAAATTTTCTTTGAAATTATTAGAAATATTTAGGAAGGCAGCACCATCTTCTCCAGATGTTTTTATAAGCAATAAAATAACTTATAAAACTGGGAAAAAATTACAATATCTCATTAACTAAATTAAGAGGAGAAAGTTTCTATATTATCAGCACTGAAACTGATATGAGACTTAACTTACTCTATTTAGCCTATCTTTTACTATCTGTTATAGGAGGAGATGTCTATGACAACAAAAAGCCACAAGGGGTCTGGTAGTTCTTTTTATAATTCACAAATTGGCTTATGTTTTTAAATAAAATTTTGTTAATCAGAAAAGTTGCTAACAAGACTCCTGATTTTTTTCTCACTTTCCTTATTTATCGCAAAGGGGTCATTTGCATTAAGAAATGGATTGCCTTACACATGTTTTTTCTTCAGATCTAAATGATCACAAAATAAAGGGAAAGTTTTTAGAACATATATTCAATCAAATAAAAATAATTAACTGCTGACTATTGTAGAACTGCACTAGTGCCATCTCGTGGGAGGAAATGGGATTGTAAATTATGTACTCTCAGTCCTTAATGCTTGTAATAAAAAGACATAATGCAAGCTGTTCTATCTGTCTGTCCCCTTTTACAATACAGTAGAATCACTCCTGTTTTTAGCAAGATAGCAGACATCAAGAAAGCAGGCAAGCTTGGCAACTTTAAGATGAACGAACTTCAACTTCCAGAATCCCTGGCCACACAAGTAAAACAAGATCTAATTTGATGTATAATGAGTGCTACAAAGGATTGCAGTAGAATCTGTTCCTCTTTCTCCCTACTGTAAATCTAGTGTGGTTTTCAGAACTTCAGTTTGTAGTTTGGCAAGGGGATCATAAGACAAAATCAAAAAGGAGCAAGGACATCTACCTTGGCATCTACCTCAGCCAATGTTTTACCAGGCAAAGGCATACCAGAACCAGATTAAACTCTGTGTAAGTTCTAGACATTTCTATTTTGTATGCCATCCCTTCAAGATGAGCCAGGTCAGGAAACAGACATCAGAAATGGACTTTACAGGGCATAATAACAGAATCTGAAAGTCTGACAAAAGTTTTCTCTCCTCTTGTACAAAAGAGAAGCAAAGTGGGGCAGCCTCATCTTTTTCATTCATTCTCTCCTTCAGGGTTAAACTGATGTTAATGTAACAACTCTTGGATTGTGCAAATTGTATGATGCACTGTTGCTCTACTTCGTGGGTATCAAACTTGCAACGTGATGTGTCATGATGTATCATGACTTTTTTCCCATTGCCGGCAATGGGGTGGGTGCAGTTTTGGCGTGACGCATCCAGCCCATGGGCCGGCAGTTTGACACTGACAAATGATGTGACAGATTTGAGGATTTGGCTATAATGTGCAGACAGTTGCACAAAATAGGAAAT